TTTAACCTCCATTAAATTTGCCCCCCTTTAGCTTTAATTGCTTTTAAAAAAACCTTTAATTTCCCCTCCGCCCTAGCCCCGCCCCGCCCCCCCCCCTCATCCCTTTCCCCAACCGGAGGCCCGGGAGGTTGAACGCCCCCCCCCCCCCTTTCCTGTTCCTGTTTACTATTTGTTTATTTATTTATTTATTTATAAAACTCAGGCCCGACAGCAATAAAAGATAATTTAAAAAAAGCACTTTAATACGTAAAAATATTATATCCGTAGCTACTTGATGCTGCATACTGCGAGTTTTGACGGATAGGTGACCAGTTCAAGCAAAAAAATAGTTAATCAAAATCATTTTCTGACGCCTATCAAATATTTCCAATCCTTCACATTTGGAGTGTTATTTATTGCTCTTCATTAAGCCTTTGGCTTTTAGTCAATTGAAACCCTAACTTCAAACTTCCAGTTCTTTTTTCTAAACACTGCGAATCATAGATTGGCCTATTGTATTCATACAATTGAACCGCCGAGACAAGCCTAAAAGCGGAGCTCTTACACAAGGCTAACTGTTATCTTGAAACTTCAAACCACAGCAAGAACAGGAGAGAATGTTTTTGCTTCCTTGTGTCTACATTCTGCTCTTCGGGGGGGTACTTTGGTTAATTTTTGCTGGGTATGTGCCGCTGGCCTCTCAGACCCCCTACCCCTTTATAGTCTATTCTGTGGCCAATTATAGACCCCATCTTAGTCACTTTTAGACAAATATGTAATTTTCTCGATCCCAACTTAGTCACTTTCTATTTATGTATCTACCTTATCAATCCTTTAAATAGGTCAGCCTAAAATGAATTGACCCTTTTTCGGTTTTCTGAAATTGAATGAAGAACACTTACTTTTCACCGACAGTACAAACATTCTGGTACGTTTGCCAACCGTAACTTGAAGAACTGTATTGCCCGAAAAATCCAAAAATGTGCGACCCCATTGTAGTTAATCCAGTCGTGAAAATGCGACTCCATCCAGCGGCACATCCCCATTAGCTTCTTATAAGGAAGTACCACCCACCGGCATTCTGCTATTGGGCCGGATGACATACAATTTCCCGCCAAAAACGAGGCGTTCAATTGAACGTGACGACTTTTGGGGCCATTTTAACTCCCAAGAGAAACTGAAGACAATGCTTATGCAAAATTTTGGAGTGACCAACGAGGAGTATTATGGTATGTCAAGGTATTTTCCGGAGTGGTAAATTAGCTTAATTGATAGTTGTGGACGGACGAACACCCCGCTGACGTCACGACTAACATTTCTGACATCGATATAGGATATCCAACCTTGTCCCCAGGGCGCTTTTCCCTGGCTTCTGGAGGTGGTCCGCCTCAAGTCCGCCCCACCTCCAATGCCAGGGACTCAAGCGCCCTGGGGACGAGGTTGTAGGATATCATCTTTTCTCGCCCATGGTGCTCTGCTTCGCCTCGTTCGCGCGGAGCTCCGCTTTAACGAATCGAAGTGCGAGGGGACTTGACGAAAAATTATACCTTACAACAAAGAAAAGTTAAATCGGGTTCCTGTTCAATGTATTTTACTGGTCGGGGAAACATGATTTTTGTTACTGCCTGAGGTAGGAATTTTGTTAGAGGGGTTTCATTGTACTTGCGGTAACACCCAGAGTTTTTTTTTTTTTTTTCAGTTCTACGTTAGCTTACTAACGGCGTAACTAACACTAGGAAACAGGGTTTTGATCAATTAAAACGCGTGAGTTATCATTGTAAAATGTGATGCTAAACTTTAGAAGTTTGCGACGTAGTGAGATCACAGAGTGCGACCATTTAAAAAGTTGTAAAGCCTTTTTAAAAAAGTCGCCATCTCCTGTGGCGCTGTTTATTATGCTAAGCGAGGTGCTTTTAAACTATTGCACGAATTTTTGTAGCATAAAAGAAAGCATTTCCGTATCAATTTGCTGAATTGGTGATTTAATATGAGATTAAAATGTACTCTAGCCGAGGTTGTGATATACATTTTTATTCGTGGATGTAACTCTAAACTATGACCATTGTATTACTATATCTTCACCATTTTTTAACATAATGTTTGGAATTATGTAGTTATATGAATTTGAGTCACTTTACTTGGAATTATTATAATTTCAAAAAAGAGTTATTAACTTCAAAAATTTATGAGGCATGAACGCAGTCAATTAATCATACGAGGGTTGAAATTTCTTGACGTAACGTAGGTATCGAGTTGTGCTAGCTTATTCAAAAAGCGTCATTTCACAGCACTTTTCGGTCCGGGTTCTGTTTATTGCGCCGAAGTGTGGCCATTCAAAATAAAAACCCTGATGGAACATTATGTTTCCTGCTGGGAAACAATTTGTTTGTCGATCTTTCTTACGTAGAAAATATCCAACATTTTGTTGCTCTATTGCTCTTGACCGCTATGTGGATACTGCGTGAGTTCCTTTAACAATTCGCACATTCTGTAGCATCCGCTTGGCACACCCTTCTGACAAATGCAATCATTCCCTCTTGACGCATTCTCCTTTTTTTGTACTCTTATCTCATTGCCCCTGCTAATGAGAGGGTTAAACTTAAAGCAAAAATTAAACTCGCACGATCCAATTAGCTGAAAAAGTAAGGGTAACTGTTTTAGTTTGGAGTCATTTGTTTTTTAGCTGGCCATTCAGAACTGAGAAGATTAGGTAAGTGCTGCCCAAATAAGTATTTTCAGGGCATATATTAACTCAGGTCTGGCATGTTAAAATTTCATCTGCAACAAAAGTCTTATTTGCTGAAAAGATTAATTCACAAGGTCAAAACACCATGTGAAAAACATAACTCTTGAACCATGAATGTGGTAATCATCGATAGATGAATCGCATGATCAGAATGAAACCTTTTATTTGTTTTTCAGTACTCTGTAAAATGAGTGTCTCAGTTTATGAGTCTGGAGACACTTTTTTTCGGTGAAACATTTTACTTGATATTGTTTTTTCATTTTTCTCCGCCACTTTGAGAACAGACAATCGTGATTGAACCGAAACGAACGAAGTCACTGAAAAGAACACTTTTTGAACTTGTTCAAAAAAAAATGATATTGCCACCACTAATGTACAATTAAATAAGAGAGAGAGAAAAACACATTTTTATGAGCACGTATCGGAAACATGTGTGAAGTGAATTTTAGGGTTGCAAATCCAAGCTAGATGAACTGAAGTGGAACACACAGTTTAGCAAAGGTGGAACTTAACTTACGGCGAAGAAAGGGATATCATTTTAGTAACGTTTCAAATTTTGCAGCTATTACCCAGTTTATGTAGCTTGAATTGCCCTACGTACATTATTTTCAGCAGGTTGCGTTCCCAGTATTTCAACAAAACTTATAAAAAAGAAGTTCAACTGATGCATAATCACCACCCTGAAAGCCCTGAATATACCAAACTTTATGGTTAGTGCATACCTTTATAACTTGAATAACTTTGCTGATGGATGGCCTTCTTACAAGAAACGTGTCCGGCGGCTCCATAATTGCTTTCGATTCTCTTGAGCATGATGTTATCTTGATAGTTTGCTACTTTTGTTGTGTGCAGTAATTATAGAACTATGCAGCTCTATTAGTCGTTATCACAGCGCGGGTGGCAGGGTGGTATATCTTGCTGTTCATTGTGTATTGTTAAAGGACAATTGGAGCAAAATTGAAAATTTAACCATTAGAAGGTTGAAAGGTTGATTTGGCCAAGGATCGCGGATTCAAGAAGAAAAAAGAATTTAGGAAATGGCACGAATTTTTCACTAGGAAAATCAAAGGCTCCTAGGAGCGAGCTCATGGATGAATTGAATCGTAAACGAGCATGGGTGCTAAGTGCCACTGCTCTTGAATTTCGTGATTGAGTTTCGTTGTTACTGACAACCGAATGTTGAAGATTATCACCTCTGTATTCATAGCAACTATAAGGCTTGAGAAACATTTCGTTTTGAGATTTATTTGTTTTAAACTGCTTGGGCACTGTAACATATTCACTTTTCTCCTTAGTTTTTTTTTTATATTTCATGACTTTCTCTGTGTGCTGGTTATTTAGACAGATCATGTTTACACTTCTTTAGCATTTGATTTTTGGCATGTGTTTTTTGGCATCTGCTTTTCGGCATACAGTGTCGGTTCTTTAAAAAGCATTTCGTCAGCTTTTCTCCGGTAACATCTCTACAGCACTCACGCTTTTAAGGGAGCTAGATCCTTGCCCGAAGCTGTAGGTGTTCTGACCTTACTAGTACCCGGCTAGAATATGCCAAACATATGTAAAAAAGGCACTTGGAACAAAATAAATACTAAGTAAGGGAGGTAAGAGTAAATTGCTTGATTTGACCTTAATGAGTACAGTAAATTAATTAGAATCGAGTGAGTGAGTGAGTGAGTGAGTGAGTGAGTCAGTGAGTGATCGAGTGCCATTCGAGTGCCTCCAAAAGCCCTTGGCATGACTACGTCATCCATGAGCTAAAAAATAAGAAAGGTCACTGTGGCTTTGGATAGCAAGGATAAATTTCATGGGTGCGCGTTAATATAATGACATAACATCTTGAAAAAATTGAAGACGAAAAACAAGAAGAAAAACAAGAAAACTCAAAATAACAATATAAATGTACTTCCTATAAGAGTTACAAAGTTTGTGAGTTTCCGGCACTCATGCAGTATGAAAGCGTCTTTGGTGATGCCTTACATAACGTAGCAACTGTATCATTCAATATGGCGGCAGAGAGGGTATCGACCTCGTCAGTTGTCAAACTAAATCTAAGTGCGATCAAAAAGAGCGATCAATATGTGGTAAATATTATAGATAATGCTTCACAAGTGGCACTCTATAAATTTAACGGAACGACACAGGCGTGGGTAAGTACAGCTCAGCTCATTTTTCAATTTTTACACGTGTGATCATGTATGAGCTGCTTTCGTTTGCATTTGTGCGACCGTCAGTCGTTTTTTGTGTTGTCAGTTTGGATCGATGTCCTTACGAAGTCGTAGAAGAGATCAAGATGATTGGTATTGTTCTATCATTTCAAAAATATGTCCAATAGTTTTAAATCACCTGCAGATAAGTCTTTTTAATTGAATTGAAATCTATATATCAGCTGTATTAAATAATGACATCTTTCGGTTACGTGACTGTACGGGTCATAAGTTTAAAATTTTATCACATAGATGCGCTTGCGTGATGCGCTATAAAGCTAAATCGGTGAAGAAGAAACAATAATGATTGCGTAGTTGGAGGAATTGACATAAAAAAATGAGGGTGTTAGATACTAAAACAGTGCCTTAGACCATTTTACAGTTATGAATGGAAACGAGGCTGGAGTTGATTGATACAACCCTTCCTGCTTTGTTATGTAAATCTTGTTGTTCTTATCCCAACTAGTATTTTTCAAGCATAACTTCCATAAGAAAACAAAGGAGGTTTTTATCAAAATGTGGTCAAGGCTAGCGTACTAAGCATTCAACTATGAAATGGTCTCTTCGTTCATGTTTCCTGTAAACTATGGCTTTTCCTTTGGCAGCTGATGGAACAGGGGTTTGTCAGGGGCGGGGGGGTGGGCAGGGGAAATGATGAGAATAAGATTCTTTGGAGTGGGGGTGGGGATGGTTCACGAGGAAACTTTTAGCCCCAAGTAATGTCCCCCAACCCAAATTTTAACAACAAATTACAATGTGTTCACAATCACACTATTTCTGTAATCAAGTGGTCATCAGGAAAACAAATTATTGGAGCAACTTCAGATTACCCTGCCACTTATTGGGACACTTTAAGAATAAGGAATAAGAAATAGGCACTTTTGTTATTCAATGAGATGCAAATAAGTGGCAGGGTATGGTGAAGTTCAAATTATAAAAAGAAAACTAACGATTGTCAGAAAAGTAACTTGTTTACCTTTTATGAAGATGTGTAGGGAAACATTGACTGTTGGCCAAAAACGTGGCTGTTGTAGAGAGGTGACTCATGTGGATAGGTGGCTGTTAGTGGAGTTTTGACTGTATTTAGAGCTCCTACAATTCTCCTCATATACAACCACCCCAGTTGATAAGGGCCATTGTGTCATAATAAACTTTTTAAGGCTTTTAACCATGCTGAAAGAGGAGAAGAGCATTACTTGTAAGTTTAGAAACTTGTTGTATATTTATTAAGGGTTTTGTTTATTGTTTGTCTGACGATTGTCCCCAAGATATTGATTGCGATGTTACACACTATTTGATTGATGAACAATATCTTTCGTGACATTGTTGTTTATTTGTATTGATTTTTATTGTAGGAGAAAACAGATGTGGAAGGAGCCCTATTTGTTTATAGCAGGTAAGTCAATAAATTATTACAGTAGAGTTCTGGTAATCTGAATCTTTGGAGGAAAGTGACAGTTTTGTATAACTATTATATAAAATTACCAGTAGTGTTAAAAACAAATATATGAGTCATATTAGCCTGGGAGCAAGCTGTCCGGGGCGCTCTGGCGGTGGGGAGGGAAAAGGAAGGAGAGCTTGCAACTTGGTCTCTGGAATTGGAATTCCACCTCCAATTCCCCTGTGGCTCCCCGTCAACTGAGCTGTCAAATTTTAATGTAATAAATTATTAATCTTGTGGAATGTGATCCATTTTTTAGATCCACTCCTCCTTCCAGTGCCTTCTTCATAATGAACAGACTAAATATGAACAATATGAAGGAACCAATAACAAACAATATGGAGTTTAAACTTCAGGATCCATTTTTGTTATATAGAAACCTCACAAGTAAGTATCCTCAGAATTCTAAACAAGTTTTACCAAACTTTCGCTGATCTGTGTAGGGTGTTCATTGGGCACCAGAGATCGGAGAATTCTCTGTTTGTTAATGTGTGATAGCCTATGAATATTTTTAATTTAGACATGGAGCCTCTATCTTTTACAATATTCTGCTGTAATGTTACACCTTTCTCCAGCTACTATAATTTATTCTTCATGAAAAGAGTGAGGCCATTACGGGGAAATCTCAGTCTGAGGCCTTGATTTATTGACTGAGTGATAGCGAGGTCAATACATCAAGGCCTCGGTCTAAGATTTCCCTGTCATGACTGAACAGTCCAGGTTAATAAGTTATTTATTATATGGCCTTTTCATTATGGAGCTGAGCCTGCAATCAATTAAAACCAACAAGTGGTCAGCAGATAACTAAAAAAAACATGTCACCTCAATGAATTGTACACTTGAGCCTGCGATACAGTCAGGTGACACTGGTCAGCAGGTACCCTTTTTGACAGCTGTCAATTGACCATAACATGGCAGTCCATAAGTAAACACAGTTTGTATATGCTTTGGACACATAGCTAGTGATGCCTGGTCATTATTAGAAAACAGCCAATCAGAGGGCACGTACTATTGTAGCCATATAATAAAGTGCCTTAGCCCAAATTGGCATTATTATTTCTTTGATTTTAGAGGAGATATATGGCATCTGGTTTTATGATAGCGATGAATGTAAAAGACTGGCCATGCTGTTGACAAAGTAAGTCACATGTACATAACTTATTGAATCAACCCAAATTAATTTTTTTAAAATTTTTTTTCCACTTCTTTCCTACCTATCATTACCCAAAGACAATTTGTGACAGGTTTAGTGTACTAATAGAGTAATTAGAGAGCTCAAGCAACCACTATGATGATAGCAGTGTAAAAGTCGCTGAAAAATGTATTTGAGTTGTTTCAAACTTACATGTATTTACTGTAGCCTTTCCCAATTTGTCAAATAAGTCAAATTTTCCAGGAGTTGAATGCATCCAAGTTCTAAATGGGAAAATAACATTTGTTTTGTGTATACATCCTCCACAGGAGTTTCATTTCTTAGTTGTGCAATGGTCATGTAGTTGTCCCCATGGTTGCCTAAGTTCCCTATTTTTAACAGGACCAGGCAATTCTACTTAGAATGTTACAGTTTCATAAAGCACTAAATCTTGCATGTCCATTTTGTTTGCAGGCTCTCTTCGGAGACAGCACCAACAACCAGGCCAGTGAGTAATCCTCCTCCACCTGTGCAAAGTCCTCAGGTAATTTTCTTTCTTTTTCCCTTTTTTTGTCTCCTTTTTTGAGGTCTTTAGATGACATTTTCATCCTACCTTATTAAGCTACTTAACGTTTCCTTTTCATAGAAGGATAAAAAAGAGAGTTCAACAGAGGAAAAAGTTGATATCATGCAGCTTTTTGCTAAAGCACAAGAAAGATATATTAATGAGGTACTGTAACACTAGTCTATTAATATTATTATAGGATCTGAATGTTGACTCCTTTGCTTTATAAACAGCAAATGATTTTAGACTCAAGTAATGCACATCATTCGTTCATTCATTCATTCTGTGGTTTGCCTTTTTTTGCCCCCATGCAGACCAAAGCAAGTAATCCAGTCACCTCGTCTACAGCGAGTAGCAACCCTCAAAAACAACCAGTACCTCAAGAACAAAAAGAACAGCAACAAAAATTTCTCCAACAAAACCAAGCTCAGCAAGAGCAACTTCAAAGACTTTTTCAAACTGAGGACACTCGCCCAAAAAAGCAAAGAGCCTACTCCTCCCCCGCTACTTATCTGTCAGATAAACAGTCCCCCTCTCCCATGGGTAGTAAGACGACATCCAAGGGGGAGGAGCAAGAGAATAGTGTTTTACCTGGAGGGGAGAGACAGTCAAGGAAAGGACACAATAAAGTGAAGAGCCTAACGCTGTCTGACGTTAAAATGCCCGTGGGTCCAGGTGAGGGATTAAAGAATCTTTGGGTAACGCAATTTATGTCACACAATTTTCAACAATTGCGGTTGGTGTCAACCGGCTGTGGAATTGACTGGCATGTCAAAAATGGCAGCTGAAAGTTGTGGAAGAAATCAAAAGGAATAAATAAGCGTAGAAAGGGTTTCTTAATCCTATCATAATGCTATTTAAAGTAAACGAGTAGTAAACTTATTACCATATGCAATCTACTGTTGAGATGTGGGACTGAGAAGCGGCTCCGGTTTACGGTCATCTCGCCACCAAGAAGTCTTACTCGCCACCACATAACAACTCTGCAACAATTTATACTGTTTACTTACCTGAGATTGTTACTTCTTCCTCAAGCCCAAATATAAGTTTATGGATTTTAATTGACACCTTGCGTTGAACTTCTCATCTTTAGTTTTATTTTTTGCCAATAATTACGACTTTTTAATACCTTAAAACAGCTTATTTGCATCGCTCGAAAAGTGTGATTTGTTTAAAATCCAACAGCCTTTCTTACGAAAGTTGGTTAATATTGTCACTTGAACCTTACCTCCTTAAATTTGATTGTAAATTTAAAGTGAGAGAATTCTTTTTAGAGACTTGTCCTTTCACTAAGTATGAAAATACATATTTCTTGATAGCGAATTAGTTGGTGGGGAGATGGTTTGGTGGCGAGGTGACCCGGATATTGCGGTTCGCGCGTTCTCTCGCGGCTTTCGTGGCTGATTTCTCAGGCCACCTTGTGACCTCTTTTGATTTACACAGCCCAGTTATTAAATCTTTTCTCGAAGAAAATTGTTGTTTAAAAATGATAGTAACGCAGGATTGTTTCCAGGTGGACTCATCACTCAGACACAAGATGACTCTGCGATTGACAGCACAAAATCGGGAGCCCAAAGGAAGGTACAAATGTGTAAAATGTTCATTTTTTTCGCCGTTGTGTGATCGATTGACCCTCCTCCCCGTGAAGCGTGGTGTTGTCTTGGTTGGCTGGTTGGACAAATCTGATGAGGAATGTTTCGCGTCCTCTTAGAATTTAACGTCACCTGCTTTACAGTTATGAGCCGCAAGAAGCAGTTAAAAAGCTTGGCTCCTAGCTCATACGTATTTGATTACACACTATCATGAGCCAGCTTTCGAACTACGAGGTTCAGGAAAGTTGGTTTGCAATGTGCTTTCAATGAAGTTTTTCTTGTTTATAGTTATTTCAAAGCGATCGACCAGAGGTCAAGAGTATGGTTACACTACCCACACCATCAACTGCGTCTGCGCAATCAACAGTTGCTGCTCAAGTTAAGGTGAGCATATGCGGGCACCGTAGTGTGTAAGTGCGTCTTTGTTTGAACGCTATTGGAAAAGAATTTACTTAAGTTCGCCAATCTTGGTAGGGTGACCGTAACAGCGCGTGGTACCAATTAACTCGGTCCCGTATGTGTCCCTTCCCTTCCCCCGCCCCCATAAGAAATAGACCACAAGACCGGGGACTACGTCCCCTAATCTTTACGAACATTGCTTCTTCAACGTCCCACGGTATATGTTCAAGGGTTCTGAGACGGGGCCTACGGTTTATCGTCATTATCGAGAAGACTAGAAAGTCTAACCGTTCGCAGATGTCTTTACAAAGGCAGCACTTTTTCCTCAGTTATTTAAATACCCTGAGTGTTGGTCCGGCCGAGGTGTGAACCAGCGGCGTCCCGCTAGGCAGACCGGCGCTTCCGGGGATTAGCTCCAGACTATCTAGGTAAAAAATTTAAAACGAGGTCTGAAATTCACAGGAGAGACACACGCAACGAGAATAAGATTGACATTCCAGGGTACAGAACTGCCGCAGCTGGCCAAAGGACCTTTCATTATCGGACCATTTCATTGTGGAACGCTTTACTGGAAAGGCTCACTAGGTTAACAAACGTTGTGACTTTCAAGAAGGAACTTATGCATTATTTTAAATCGTCTCATTAAGCAGTCTGTTTTTTAAAGACAGGGGCTGCTTACTATTGTCTTTGTCTCTTAGGGGCTATGTTAATCATGTCTCGTTAAAATCTTGTAAATATATAGTTTTATAGTTTCATTTTTTAATCTTTTGTACTTTTATATAGATTTTTCTCCAAGATATTGATGTAATTACTTTGAAAAACCAGACTTGGAAAGTAATATTATTATTATTATTGTCATTATTATTATTATTAATTATTAAAATAATAATAATAATAATAATAATAATTTATTGTTTATTATTATTATTATTTTATCCAAGTGAACTAACCGGGTGGCGGGTTTTCTCTGTGTTGCAGGAGTCCCCACAAAAGCCTTCACAGGATCAAGCCCTAGCCGCGGCCGCAGCCGCTGCCGCAGCGGGGTCTTCTCTTATGTCGCCATTAGCTTTCCAGTCTTCAGGGAAAGTACCGATTATGACACCTCCATCACAGACGAAACAGCCCGCTCCAAAAATGGAAATTGCACCTTTGACCCAAGAGCAGCTTGTTCAAGCAATGACGTATTTATTGAAGGTAACTTTTGTTGCTTAAAGAGAGGCACAACGAGTGGTCTTACATCCAGTCTACATAATACAATCCCATATATGGTAGCAACACTATAAATATATGGTAACCACACTACACCAGTATTCAATGGTTAAATTGGCAAAGAACCTGCAATACATTTACCATTACATTTTAGACGTTTCGATCACGCGCTAAAAAAGATTTATCAGCAACATGACCTATACAACTGGCATCCTCAAAAGAGGAAAACACCTTTGAGCGTGTTTAAAAAGATTGATTCCAACTCTGAACATATTTCACCTGCATCTGACTCGCCCCCAGTCGTTTTGATCTGTAAGCGGTCAAGAAACGGTCGCGGGAGACCTAGTACGGCATCTGCTGCCCGTGCTTCCCTTGACCGCGTTTTCTCTCGTTAATATTAATAGGAGACGTAGAGACGACTGGGGACGAGTCAGCACCTGCGTACAGTCGAACCTCTTGCGTCCGAAAACAGCCGTTTCTCCTCGCTCCTTGCTAAGAAGAAACGACTGTTTTCGCAGGCTATGGAACCTCCATGTGCGACTACTTCTTGTAAGCGACCATCTCCCAGAAACGACCACCTATCCAAACTGAAATTTTCCCAGTGAATCACTAAAGTTGCAACTCGTAAGCGACCACCTATCGTAGGTGACGGCGGCCACTTTTTTCAGATGACCGCCTTGGAATTTTCCTTTGTTTTTATCCTCCTATTGCATGGTTTGATCTCCATGCATGTTGTATGTACTTCACTACTAAGAGAATGCGATGTACTTTTGGTGACAACATAAAACTACACATATGGTAACTTGGAAACTACATGCAGTGAATTCTCTTACAAAATGTAGATGTGTTCGGTCCTCTTCTCGGAAGAGACCCCTTGTGGTTCGATTCTCTTAAGCGACCCCTTCCCGCAAGCGGCCTCAGAACCTTCGCATTCTGGGTGGTCGCTTACGGGAGTTTTGACTTAATTAATAAGCACTATATTAATATTAGAAGTAATCAGCAAAAACAGCATGTATGTACTGTATAGTTATAATAGTTTGTCGTTCATTTCTTTTCAGAATGATCCAGAATTTGTTACCAAAATCCACGAGGCATACTTCAAGAGTTTACAGGACAAACTGCCAACTTAGCAGCTCTTTGTTAAAACTGTTACAAGTGGTTGGCGATGTGACTGTAAAACGCGTAACCAAGGGGAACCTTAGAGTCGCGCAAAAGTTACAACGAGGAAAGGAGAGAAGCTTGTTTTCACTATGGTGGTGATGTTAAAAAAATGTTGCATAAAAAAAAGTGTTTCAAAGACCGGTTTTGTTGATGTTAATAATTGTAACAGGACTGACTGGCTTCCCTGTCTCACTTTAATCACACGTATTGTTCAACACAAGAGAAGTTTTACTTGTTTGATCACAATCACAAAATAATTTGTTTTGAAAGCTAGAATTATTAGCTTCTACTCAGTCCAATAACGAACTAATCATGTTTATAAAAAAAAATGTCCTTTTATAGTCTGGGTAGTGCCTTCTGTACTGTTGCCACAAGTTGTACCATAATCAGGGAAGTAAATAGCCAACCAGATTCAGGAACCTTTTTTATATATATTTTATTAACCCAGTAATTCCCATTTTCTTAATTCACTTCTGTTAATGTTTCTTATCACTTTCAACACTGATGTTTGTATTAACTCCTAACCTCTGTTATGAAGAAAAGTTGCTTGTATAAATGTCAAGCGAACGAATAAGTTTTTCGCGAAATAGTTTACATTTGTGAACATATCGTTGTCGTTTTCTGCATCACCATCATCATCATCATCATCATCATCATTATAATCATCATCATCAATATTTGTGCATGTATAATTTAAGTTTTTAATCGTATAGAGTTGTTATCTTTACCCCACTAAGGGCTGCGATTTTTTCGCTTTTGCATAAATTTGCCTTAAACATATTAGTCAGAAGAAAAATTCCCACAATGCGGCAGTCTGTTTGCTAGAATGTTTGACAGCTGAATTGCTAGTTCTCAAATTAACTTGTTGCCTTTAAGTAATAGGCCATTTTACAGTTGTAGGCTTAGTGTCCTAGCCTTTGAGTGAACGTGAGGCTGAGGTTGACCTTGTATTTGATACAAACCTACTCCCTTTTCTAATGGAAATTTTGCTTGGAAAATACTAGTTAGCATAAGAACAACATGATTTACATTATAGAGCGGTTTTCATTTGAGTGTCGAAAAGTAATTGGTTTTGCACTTTCTACACGATGCGATTGGCTTAAAAGATTCGCGCCACCTTTTCATCCAATCAGAAGTAAAACCAAAGCCAATTGTGTTTTGCGTCAGCCACATGTAATTACTTCGAGTTTTGATTGGTTCAATGTATTGTCTGTGTCCTATGTGATTGGCCAGAGTAATTACTTTGGTTTTGGTTTTACGACACTCAAACGAAAACCACTCTAAAGGAGGAGGGATTGTATCAGAACAAGGTCAACTCCAGCCTCGTTTCCAACTGTAACCGTAAAATAGGTTATTTAAATTTACTGTGTCAGGAACCCAAATGATCTGCCTGGTTCTTTCTTGCTTCTTCAGCTAGCTATGATAAAACAAGTGGTTAAAGCAAATCCTTGGAACTGAGGCTGCCAATCTCGTCCCCAGGGTTCCCTTTTGTCATGCGCTAAGAATCGCTTGCGCGTAGAACGGGACCTGGATACGAGATTGCGGCAAGGCTCATAGGGATACTGCTGTTGTCAAATTCAGGAGCTTTGTTTAAAGAATTCTAAGCTCAATATTGCGCATGATGTTAAATATGTGAAACAGTCGTTGGAGAAAGAGCCCAGTTTTCTCTCGTACTGTTTCATGTTACTGTTTCTCCTCGCGATGGACTCTCTTTGAAAGAAAATAGTTTGGGAATACGTTAAGGTTTTGTTGCAGTTAAGCTAAGATCAAATGAAGGTTAAGGAGTATTGAATTCCTTCCAAAGTGGTGTACATTAGATGTGTAGTTTCATTGCTACGTTGACGAGAAAGGACTCTTCAATAACTGGACGTGTCAAAAATGAATTGAATAAAACATGGATGTGACGAAAGAGTGTAGCCCTTGTTGTTGATTTTTATTGGACAAGGAGAAGAAGGGTTGGTACAATTTCTCCATGTAAAATTCAATATTTTTCCTTGCCTTTTTGATCTTCGATAGTCTTTTAGAATTCAGCTCCAGAAAAATATTGCCAACATTTGACGAATTGAACGAGATGGAGTTCAGCGGACGAGATGGTGGACAAGAGTAAAAGCGTTTTACCCCGCATGGATCGAAACCTGTTCTTCATGCATATCACGAAAGGGTAGCCTGAGAAAACAGCCGACATTTGGCAACGCTACCACTGGTTTCCCCGCCAAATGATGTCTGAGAAACGAGCGCAGAAATTCCATACTGATCACGCGTCACCACCCAAATCTGGGTAGTGCTTCTGATTGGTTGAATCAAATTTTCCACGCGCACGACCAATCAAAAGCACCACCCAGATATGGGAAGTGACGCTTCATCAGTATGGAATTTCTGCGCTCGTTCCTCATACGTCATTTGGCTGGGCACGTTCGAGATAATAAACAGGGCCCAAATTCCATAACGGCCGGTCAACGGACAATGTCCGGCTGAGATGACCATTTGTTCGGACAAACTTTTCGTTTGCCGGTCATTTTAACCGAACATGTAAATAAGTGATCAGAAAAAAGAAACATTTTCACATCATTACGTTTCAAGAGGACAAGTATCTTTTTTCACCGTATGTTTTTGCTGTCAGAACAGACAAGTGACCAAGCTTAGCCTGCGAAAACAGCCATCTCTCCTCGCTCTTCGTCGTTTAATAGGCAAATTTCGCCGAGCTGCAAGGAGCGAAGACGGCTGCTTTTGCAGGCTAGGCCGAGCTAAGAATTCATGGGCCGGTCAACACAACCGGAAATAGTCCCAAACAGGGGCCCATTCTGTCCCAAATTTATCTTGAGCGCTGATATTAAAAGATTTGAACTCAGAATCATGTCATTGTTGAAGATGAAAAGAAAAACTCGAAACTTTCCCCATTTCTCTAAGTTTCAAACTAATTATCGCCAAACAAAACAGTCTGGATGAATAAACTGAATGCGCCACGGTAACTAATTTTGTGTGCTCCTTTGTGCCATTTGTATTGTGATTCAGATTTTCTATTTTGTTTGGCACTATTTCAAGAGGTTACCACAAAAAGTACGATACATAAAAGTAAGAAAAAATAAATAAACTAACAAATTACATAAATCATCAAATTTGAAACGTGCGCAGTGACCAAAGGAGCTTCGGCTTTCGAGTTGGTCATTGCCACGTGTAACTAACTGGCGTAGACATCTACATAAAAACTACAAGTAACGTATTATGGAGAAAGGAAAATTAAAAGTGCGTAAAGAAACGAAATTGGCAATGTCTTCGGTGGTAAAAGCCACATAAAGGTCCCCCTATTAAATGAAAAAAACCACATATCGGGAAAATAAGATATATTTTTTACAATTTGCTCAATGAAAAAAATAATGTTAACATAAATGAGTCTGATGAAATGTGAGAATTGATAACAGCAACACTGCTATACACCATAAAGGTTTCCTTTTCTGCCATTCAAATTCAGGACATTTTATGGATAAATTACCTAACGCTCAATAAATATACTAGTATAACATATTTTTTTATAAAGTGAAAGAGCCATCCAGTTTATGTAGAGGTAAACATAGTCCAGTTCTGGCACCCCTCTCTCTGTTATGCAATGTGGGGAGAGGGCGTTGCACGACAGAGAGGGAGGGGGGCAGAACTAGACTTGTGTAAACAGACCACTTTTACTTAGAAGAACAGCCAGGAGCTCTTTTGAACATAGAACCTATTAAAAAGCTTCTCAAATGTGCTTCAAGATGCTCCTTGCTTTTAAATGCAGGCTTAAAACTTCCATGTAAGTCAAAAGAATTTAGGGCTGTTGCTTTTTTTGGCCGAGAGAAGCGCCTGCCACATGCACAGGACACTTGCATCTACAGGCTACCTTAAAACAGATGTACGAGCATCAAAGAAGACATGAGAAACGAGGGCCATGGCCTGAAAAGACAAGAGAGACTGCTTGTCTCTTTTTTGTGCCTCTCCTAGCGCATTTTGTTCAACAGACTCAGAAAAGAGAGAGAAACAGCTTGTACTCTACTTCCTCGTTTCCTAAGCCTTCAGTACGCTTAGCCAAAGGAATTAGCTCTGCTTTAAGTGGCNAAATATACTAGTATAACATATTTTTTTATAAAGTGAAAGAGCCATACAGTTTATGTAGAGGTAAACATAGTCCAGTTCTGGCACCCCTCTCTCTGTTATGCAATGTGGGGAGAGGGCGTTGCACGACAGAGAGGGAGGGGGGCAGAACTAGACTTGTGTAAACAGACCACTTTTACTTAGAAGAACAGCCAGGAGCTCTTTTGAACATACAACCTATTAAAAAGCTTCTCAAATGTGCTTCAAGATGCTCCTTGCTTTTAAATGCAGGCTTAAAACTTCCATGTAAGTCAAAAGAATTTAGGGCTGTTGCTTTTTTTGGCCGAGAGAAGCGCCTGCCACATGCACAGGACACTTGCATCTACAGGCTACCTTAAAACAGATGTACGAGCATCAAAGAAGACATGAGAAACGAGGGCCATGGCCTGAAAAGACAAGAGAGACTGCTTGTCTCTTTTTTGTGCCTCTCCTAGCGCATTTTGTTCAACAGACTCAGAAAAGAGAGAGAAACAGCTTGTACTCTACTTCCTCGTTTCCTAAGCCTTCAGTACGCTTAGCCAAAGGAATTAGCTCTGCTTTAAGTGGCGTTAGTGGATACATGTGTGCAGTATATGAGAATATGTTTTATCCCTGTGCCTCATGATTGGTCCAATAAATATAATATATTAGTATAATAAAGGCTCCGGGAATGCGTATGGCTTATATCATCCAGGCATTTCTGACTATAGAATCAGAGCAAAAGTCGTCTGCTTAACTCAGCCACTTTTTCATAAACAAGGCTTATCGTAAGAGGTAAAAAGTCAGTCTTAATCTTCCCTAATAACGACTTACATAAACACATTCTCCTGAAGAGCTGGCTGTATACATCTTTTCATACCTGGGACTA